GTTTCAGCGAAGGCAATTTTTAGGGAATCGTTCAATATGATACAACAACGGGGTGTTTGACGAAGACGTACATCTCTGAGATGCTTTCTTAGGCACCACAAATATTGAATGAGCAAATCATGTTGATCTAAGGTCAGGTATGATGGTCATACCCAGGTCGAAACCAACCTGATTTATTACTCTGGGGCTTGCTGTATGGGATAGTTTCTGGTGCTCATTTCGAATTTATTGACAGCAGGATCCGCATAATACATCTTCAATTGATCACCCGGATCGAACGTTTTGTTTTAGGAGCATACTGCCTGGTGTAATCTTTGTTACTTATTCAAATACAAAGCGCAGATCAGTCTTGTATCATTTTGGTCACCATGACCTTCAAAGAGTCAAACAAGGTCAATGACCTCAAATGGGCTTGTGAACTTTTCCTTAGAGACAGTTGCCTAGGTTCTGGGGGCGCTTTGGAGACCAACCTGGAATTTGATCTTGTTTACCTTATTCAACCTGAAGGTCATGACCCAGGAAGCTGAAATCCTAACCTAAGTGAGTTCACGTACAGGTCAAGACACCCTGTAAATTTGGTGTCTCTAGCTTTCTTAGTTCCCGAGATCTCAGGGGGGGGCAAATTGACCCCCCCCCCCCCTCCTTGAGCGAAGGGTATCTAGCCGGCCAACCGGGAGCGTGTTAAAGCATAGTAATTTCATGACAGTATCACGAGTATAACAAATTATTGACACCAATAATTTGATGCTGCGCTTTCAATTCCCTTCCACAGCACTTCCAAAACAAAACGAAGCAAAGGAATTCAATGACAAAATAACAACAGAAAGTTCAACAAGCATAAAACACTTGAACAAAAAACCTTGGACTCCTACACATCAGCCCATCACCAAGCCAAACCCAATTGACATACTTCTGGGTTGTGTTAAGATGGGCTCAGGGAAAACAAACATTTCGTCATTATTTCTTACAAAAAACAATGTTTATTTCCATGAAAGTATCCTATGCCTAACCTAAAGAGGCCTTGCATCATCTCATCCTGTATAACCGGTTTGTACCACAGCAGCAGTTGTGAGTTACTGATTATTGCACAATTCCTATCGCCACTTGCCATGCACTTGACCAACTTAACCTAACTTAGCCCATATGATGAACATCATCTCAACTCACCCATCTGCTGACAGCAGCACTTGTGATAAAAACATGATATTTAAAGGGAATGTTCCACATTTGTATGGCGTTTTGATCTGAAACAGCCATCTTGACGACCTTTTGATGCAGTTTACGGTCATGTCATTTTTAAGACCCAAAACGATTTGGTTCCTGAGTTACACGACTGCAAAATGTCAAAATCCTTATTGTTCCCCTATTTCAAAATAGCCCTCTGATTAATGACGCCATAGAAACGTCATTAGATACCCGTGATATAATTGGTTGTGTTTGTTTATGTTTCGTTCATGATAAATACCGTGCGGCGGCTGATTCATTCGCAAAGGCGATGATGCTGCACATGTGTTATAATGCGCGAAAGGTGATTGGCTGTTAGTAAGATTGTACTGCTGAGTGCGTACCGCGAACATAAGCGTGAGCAATTTTGGGTTGTGCGGCATTTGCCGAGGGGACATTTCCCCCCCCCCTCCCCACTCCCAGGCAGTGTCCTGTTTGCATCAGCGGAGATGCCGAACGTACGGTGCTGTGTGTGCGGTGATCGCAGGACAAAAGAAAATAAGTTGACTGTGTTTGCGTAAGTACCTCGCTCCCAATCTGTTACAAAATACTTCGCGCCGAATATGTCTGTCGTATCACTGACATCTCAGCAATAAGTTCTGGGTATGCACGTCTCAATACGGCATGCAGCCTCGAGTATCGTGTGCGGTCGCTTCCCATTGTTGTCACAATTTGAGGAATGAGTATGCAATCATGGGCGCGTTCGGCCAAGGGAAATTATTCAACGAATAATAATCTCTTCGATAATCATCCATGGAGATGTTCCATTTACACTCGACCGGTCCGGAAATTGTCCCCCAGATTAGTCTTCCATGCGCTATCCACAGCCAACGGTCATAGCTGGCGAAAACAAATTCTCCGTCTTGACCATGCTCTGAGAATTGTCCGGGATTCTCCCCCGCTACGGAAGATTATCTGGGATAATTTTCCGTAACGGCACTGCCGAACGCCATTCCAAAAATTTTCCATATTCCGGATAACTTTACAAGAGTATCTGCCGGCCGGACGCGCCCCGCAAAAATGGCAAAAGTGCCTTCAAAAATGCCGGCAAAAATGCCTTTATAAATAAAACCAAGTCTTTAAAAAGCAGATTCACGCGGCAGCTGGATAGCGGGTGCAAGTGCTAGGAGCTGGGCTTACGGTTACCACCAATTTCAGAAATCGTTTTCTTTATGTACTTCATAGCTACAAAAACATACGCAAAGTATTAATTTTGATAATAACTGTCTGGGGCCAAGTATGGCAAGTTGATGGAGGACATTGTGTAGCACATTGGCGAGTAGCTTCTTATTAGGTTTTTGAGTAAGTTCGAATACTGGTACTCGTTTCCATCACTAGGTTATGGGCACCACATGGGCGATGTAGTTGGCGCTCCCTAAAGCCCAAATAATAATAATCATCATTGTACTTGTTTCCATCTCCTACCTATCTCGCTACTGTCATGGAGCTACACCTCCGCTATTTGATGTAACCACTCCATAAACAGATGACTTGCATAAACTTGCATGAACAGTGTGAACTTTGTCAGTCCGGCCAGGATCAGGGATATCAGTAAAAAGTTATTCCATGGTTCCAGATTGCAGGGATCATCAGTGTGCTCAACTTATCACCAAACTCTATGTGTTGTAATCAGATTTGCACTGGGCTGACCTCTGAGCTGTCATATTCCTGCAATGACATTATTGTTTGGGTATTGTCATGCTGCTGCCACTATTTTAAAACACTAAATTTACTTACTCTTAACTAGATTTGGTGACAGTTATGCACCATGCTCACAGCGTGCAAAGTTCATGGGTGTGTGGCCTCAGCTTGTATTACTTATGTTTGCCATGACAAGCATTTCAAGATGTGTTAGACACGCTTGGCTACCCAGATGTCTGTTGTCTGTACTATTGATAAATCGCCACTTAGCACAATGATTAGTGCACACCCTGTGGGCAGATATTTTCGGTTCGCATTACTCATTTGAGGTAGAAGATGCATTGTTGGAAAACGTCATGTTTCCTGGTATCATGTACACCAGGAGATTTTGTACTCCAGGATTGTGACTAGGTGAAATGAAATATTTTGCACTCTATCATGATGCAACAAAAGTTTTTGGAAAAACTCATTGCATTTACCTGTCCCAGGGCAAGCTTAAACCAGAAGGTCTGTAGATAAGCACAGCTCTCACTTCCTATGCCTACGCAGACCAACTCAAACTTGAACATGACTTAACCTACCATTGATGACAAACTGTGTTAATTGCCAAGTATGCAATTAATGGTCATAGAAAGCCACACAACCAAGCACTTACCACAGACATCTGCCTACTCACGCACCACCACTGTGTTATGACATAGCAAATAAGAGAATCACTCGCAATTCAGCGCCAGAAACGTCTAAACTATTTAACGGCTTTGCCTGACTCCAAGCTCAGGTTGGAGATTGAACATCTCAAAACTCCAGTTGGTTTTAATGGCATGCCTCCTTGTGACTGATTTGTCAAGAGCATAAATATTCTGATCATGCTCATGCCTTGCTGCATGCTTTATAAACAGTTGGAGGGAAGCTGTTTAGAGGCGGGATCCTGATTATGACAAAGGACTTATTAGTACCCATCCAGAACCACCCTGTGGTTGGATATTTTGCCACTTCCTGGTATCTGGAGTACACAATTGTTATGGCAGCTGTGGATTCACATTGTGTTAAATTTGTCACTTAATGGTGGAAATTAAACGTGATAATTCAGGCTTTACAAAAATATACTTCTCAGTAAAAAAGAAACGTTGCTGTAGTGAAAAAGCTTACCGGAGACAGCCGTCTCACTCCGGCAAAAACACCAAGACACGAGAGCAACATGAACCCATATCTTTGGCCTGGCAAATTAAGGAGAAAGATTTAGTAGGACAAAAACATCAATGAATTTAAACATAAATTATCATATTTTGCAACGGTATGGGTTAAAGCACATCAAAATCCATAGATACATTGTATTATCCACCGGAGTCAGCGAAGTGACTGACTTCGATCACTTTCGGCCGGCCTGCACGGGTCTGTCAGGCATTGCGCATGCGCTGGCTGGGTAAATCGATCGAGAGTGCTGGCTGTCTATTATTCGGCTGGAACGTGCGGGCCTCATGTGCTGTCCGGGGCATGAATGTTTAGCCGTTTGTGGTAGTATGTAAGAAGGTGGCCGTCTGTGGCACGTTCATTTGCATTTTTTGTGTACCATTTTTCTCTGGCTGTGCGTATCATAGCCACCGTCCATGTTGGAGGGTATGTAAGCCCGATGCGTAGCCACCCTCCATTTTGGATAGTGTATAAGCCCGGTACATAACCTCCCGCCGTTTTGGAGGGTGCATGCGCACAAGCCTTTCATAAATTGGAAACCCATATATATGCACCTATGTTTCATAGTACAGGGTCCGAGACCGTCTTGATTCAGTATGCAATGTGTAATACTGATGTTCATTTCATTTAGAGTGTTTTAAGGTGAATTGCTGTACATGAAAAGTGGCACTCTTGTTGAGTACCACCCATTATATCACTATCCCTCAAAAATAGCCTACATACAATTGTAATGACCCACGGCACTGATATATTTTCATACTCACCTATAGAACATTTGTACTCTGCTACCAGGATTTTTTTGGAATTTCCAACACTGAGAATATGTCCATTGTATTGTATAGTAATCCATTTTCCCAATTACTTGATCCTTTCAGATTCCCAGCTCCACAATGCCACCAACAGGAATGGCTTGAGGCGTGTGGTATGAGCGTTGTGTAGCCAGGGCATGGAGTGTGCCAGGCACATTTTCCATCACATGCCTTTTCCAGCCTGGCAGCCAAAAGGAAATGGCTTAGGCCCAATGCTGTGCGCTCTCTGCAGGTTTGTGAATGCCTATGTTTTCTTTATTTATTTTTGTCAGACACTTCATATTTAGCCTTGGCATTCAGGCTTGAGCTTATTTAACATTGGAACACACATGGCATTTCTGTGATCACCTTTGGTCTCTTTCAATTCCATGTCCTCCCAGTCATTATTCATTCATGCATTTCAGTGTGCTGCAGTCATTTCTGACCAAAATTTATACGATGTAAGTAAACATTGTTTTGCGTTATACTTGTTTGCGTTATATTTACAAAAATTATACTACAAACTGCATCAAGTAATGGCATAAAGATGATTAAATTTGCAATAATGATTGATATTGACATTGTCTTGTAATGACCATATTATGCCAAACACAAGGACCTTTGTGAGACCTACAGGGACTTAAAGGACTACATGAAACACCTAAATGACTAAAGGGACCAACAGCCTGAAATCTGTCTAATTAGCAAAATTGCACATTTTTATGTAGTATTGTATGGACAACGCTGTGTAAAACATAAATGCAGCGTGTTTGCTCCTATGCTCTAAAGCCAGAGCAGAGTTACCAATAAGTCCCCCACCTTAGTTGTTGCAGTCATCGTCATAGGTATTAACTCCGCATCTGCAGTCTATTACAATTTCCATTTCACACTGTGTTATGTTCTAGACGATCGGCAACAAGCAGGAAGCTGGTGGTATCCAGCAGCACGTACATGATCCTGCGACGTGCGATGCGAAAGGCCGGCCTACAACAGTCAAGTGTGCCATCCTGCATCTTGCTAAAGGGTAACCATTGGTTAGTTCAGGCAGCAGAGTGCTGTTTAGACTACACAACCTTGTACCGTGCAGCGTGCACACAGCTTCAGCAGCACTGCTTGTTTGTACTGCACTTGGCTATGATTGTTTTACAACGGTGCCCAAGTCTATCAGGAAGAGGTTATCACCCAATTTTCTATACAAATTTTCTCGTATCTCAAAGATCCTTATACTACGATGTGAGTTGTTCCAAACATGCTGCACCTTACTACCTTACTGGACGTGTGAATTAAATTAGACGTCGGCAATTAATTCCGAGCCTGTGAATGGCGTTTGCCATCTGCAGGATTGTCGTGAGTGCAAAATAAATCCGCAGCTTTCAGTCATGTTCGTCCTGTGATTCCCCTGTTTTGCGTTTTCAGGCAGTGCTTCATTTCGCCACAGGTACCTGAGGGAACCTGGTGGTGGCGATGGCGATAAGGGGCACGCCGGAGGCGGTAATGTGGGTGGCGATGGCGACACGGGTGACGCTGGGCACTTGGCCATGCCAGGTACATCACGGACGTTTCATTCGCCGATGTTAGTAATGTCCTTCTAATGATGTGCATATATCTTTATTAAGAAAAATTGATAACATAACTGCAACAATTTCTGTTGTGATAAGGCCTCCCGGCGCCGGGTCATGTGACCCGTCAGATCAGTTGACGGATCACCAGCTGACTCGTGCCCGAATCCGCGGGGCGGTGGTAATCCGGTCGCTCGCGCGCGCGCGCGTCGCTGTCGTGAGGTAACGTACGAGACGAGCTAAGACCCTGCAAGTGATACCAAAACAACTTCAACATTGTTGATTTCAAGCCAGCGCCAATGCTAGTTAATGGCAGTGATGGGTATTCAGCTTGTCATTAAGGCTCAGTAAATTTCTTTGCGGATTGTCGTCAGCCTCCCCTAATAATGCATATGGCCTTCATAATCTGAAGTCTCAAGCTAAAGCCGAGTCGAACCGTGCTGTTTCCACCGCTCGTTATTTTCTGCTTGCAGAACCTCACAAACTACCAGGGAGCCAGCCGACGTTGCATGGACCCCGAGCGCCTTCACACCCGGCGGCAGCCAGGGCTCGGCGCCGACTCCCGACCGTGGAACAACTTTGGACGCAGCTGTGGAGCTCGAGCAGATGTACGATGACGAGATTCGTAGTGCACTTGCATTACGTCATGTCAATCAGCTTGACGCGTGAATGTACTGTTTGGCCACAACATGATAATGTTGTAGACGCATGTAAAAGTCCCTTCTTTGTTCCATATTGTTTGGTCGTCGTATGAGAAGAATTTAACGTATGCCATGCGTATTACCCTACCTTGGTCTTTCATCAGGTGTTTCTTCTTTGGTGTTCTCGCTTTTGTGGCTCTAAAGCATACATTCCCAAATTTGGAGAATGCCGTGACTTCACCAGGCGTCGTTCCTGCTGGTGGTCTTGTTTTAGCGCGGACTTGTTTCCAGTGATGCTTACATGGAGGTGGAAACCGCGGAGGAAGAAGACGTGAACGTCGGAGCGACGGCGGAGGACGACTGTCATTGGGGCACCCGCAGTGCTCTCGTCTCCGAGCCCCAGCTGAGGGAGCTAGCCGACACCGCCGCGGTGCTCTGCACCCGTTGCGGTGCTAGGTGTCACGTGAATGTTACTCGTATCACCGTATCGTTCACGGTCACGTCGGTGAGTCTCAGTTGGGGATGCTGTCAGAAATGCATATTGATATCATTGACCAGAACAAAACTTTGAAAATAGCTGTTGTATGCTTCTTTTTGTTGTTTTCTGGTAATGTTGCATTGTGTGCTAATTTGTTTGCAAGCTGTGGTTTTCACCATTTCTTAGTAACTTTCGTCTTTTTAGTTCTGTCCTCGTCAAATCAATGCCCAGCTACGCTTGAAACTATATTGGTGTAAACCATAGCATGATCGGTACTGTAAGTGCTGGCTGCCAGAGGCCTCTCGCATCTGCAACGTCCTGGTTGTGACGTCATGCTGCCACTCGTGCGGAGGTAAATACTGCTTTCGTGACAGGCTGGCCTTTCAATCCTCTTTGGTTATCTCCCTCAGGAATGCAAAGCATGTGCCACTGTCACCAATAAGTGGGTGTCAACGCCGAAGGAAGGCCACACAATGGTCATAGACACCCTACTTGCTGCGGCCGTCGTACTCAGCGGCAGTCATCTGGGAAAGCTGAACAAGATGTTGGCCTTCGCAAACGTAGGGCAGCTCAGTCGAACGACGGACGGCCGTATCACACAAAGGGTTGTAGCACCAGTGCTTGAAGAGGCGTTCAACAAGACTCTAACTGAAAACCGAGAGGCGGCTCTCGCGGCATCACCTGACGGTCTTGTCGTTGCTGGTAGGTCCCCATGACTGGGCGTTAACCCCAACGTATGTGTCTCTGTACTGGGTACGCCCTGTCCGGCCCACCTTGCTTCGATCTGGCACTATGTGGCGCGTCCATGCTTTTCTACACGCCGTTTTACGTTTGTTCTGATCACTGCACCCGCACTCAGTACGCTACCCAGTGCGGGAAACCAACGAACGCTCGCTCTGTGCAGCTAACATTTGTCATAACTCGTTCAGTATCCGAAACTGCCCATCCTGCCTGGTAGGACGTTTGACTTCCAGAGTTCGCCCGCGCTGCACCGCGAGTGTGGGTTGAGTGGCGCGCCTGCCTGCGAGGGCGGCTGTCTACGCACCGCTGCTGGGCCACGCCCCCGGAGGAGGTGCGACCAGGCCTGCCGCACCGCTGCACCGGCTGCCGGGCGCCGATTCAAGTAGATGTTTTGTCATTTGTCCACTATTTTCATGTCATAGCTGCTTTGCTTCGTTTTGTCATATTAGTTATCATCATTTGGCACGACTGCTAGCCCTGCTTGCTTACCCTGGTGGACGTAATACGATGTTCATCAAGGACCGGAAGCTCCTGATGAATTGTCATATGCGGTTCGTGGGCGAGCGACAGGTCAGTTTTCATATCGTTGGATGCGTAATCGCCGAGGATGTGTTTCTTTGCTACGTATGTTTTGTCGATTCGAAAAACAGGCTGAACAAATGACTCCACTTGGCTGTGCTTGGCTGAAAGTGGTGTGTGCATTGTATCGGATGTGCTTTTGGCCCATGATACATAAGATGCAGAGTTAATACAGGAATGCACGCTTGACCAGTTTCGTCACCAAGGAATGTATTGTGAAAGCAGGTAGGGCGGCACAAAAACTCGTGTCATTGTTCGGTGCGCAACGCCACGATACAGCACTGAGGTAGCGTCATAATGACGCCGTCGGCGCCGACGGCATCATTGACCAAACAAACAGCTGACCACAGGACGGTGCAAATTAGCGTGAGAAGTGGAAAGGTATATGGCACGTGAATAGCATTCGAGACTGCTTGGAGCTTGAGCTTCTGAGGACGTGGGCTAAGCTGATGCCAAGTGGAGAGATGAATTGCCTTGTACCTGCACGGAAGTACAATAACTGCTGAAGGGGTGCAAACATCAGCTGAACGTCAGCTTTGCGTGCCCAAAACCAGCCCACCATCGTTACTCACGCTTTTTTACACCCAGGTCGCGTAATCACGTACTGCGCATCTTATGCACGCTGTGATCACGCACATTTAGATTGCCATAGAATATTTACTTGCAAACGAAGCAAAGCTTGCTGGTTTTTACTAGCTTGATTACTTCTTCGCGTGACAGACAACGCTGGCATTATACAAACTAGACACCGGCGTAGAAAGTGGGAAGTTGCACCGAAATCGCTTCGTTCAGCCAGAAATGGTAACTTCCCTTTATAAAACTGGCCCGCGTTATGGATTGCCACTTACGGGACGAAACGCTAAGGGCGTGGTGCCGAAAGGCCGAGTAGGTCAAACACGCCGATTCAAAACCACCGTCAGAAGATCTGGTACCTGTATTTAACACATGACGATCACTGGAGGGTCCGGTGGGGCATCGCGGATCTGGACTGGCAGACTGGGCAGAGCTCCGAGTCAGGGCACAGCTCTGGGTTTGGGCAGAGCTCTGAGCGGCACCAGACGCTCCGTCGGACCAGCAGGTCACAAGCGTTCCCCCCACAGCCCGTCCGGCTGTCGCCGCTCCGGCTGGCAAAGCTGGGCAACAGATCACTCTTTGGCTCTACACGTGACGACGTCCCAGCCCGTCGGCGTCCTCATGTCTCGTCATTCGGCAGAGTACGTTGCAGCCTGTAGGCCTACTGGTGGGACTCGAGCGCTCTCAACGGCGTGCCGTCAGGGCTCGTCAGTCCGGTCCCAGCGCCGGGTCCAGCCCGTCGCCGGCCATGGGCGCCTGTCTGGGGCGCGCACCGGGCCCGGCGCGGTCCGCCGCCGACTCGAATCGCTCCTGGCCACGGCCTGGCGGCTGCTGCTGGCGACTGTAAGCGGCCGTGCGCAGGAGACGGCCGGGCGGCGCGCGGCCGGCCGCCGCCCGGCCGCGCGCCGCCAGCGCGCCCGCCGCGTACTCGTGCTCCGGCGGCCGCGGCACCGGCTGCGGCGGGGGGCCGGGCCGCGGTGCCGGCTGCTGATGCTGCTGCGACGGCGGCGCCGAGGCGCCGGGCCGCGGCGTCGGCACGTACGTGACGGTGCGCGAGCCGCCGCGCGTCACCACCAGCTGGCGGCTGGAAAGCAGCGAGCGGCCACCCGGCAGCACCATCAGCCGCTCCCGCTCCAGCGACGGCGGCGGAGGCGGCGGCCGCGCCGACACCGCCAGCGGCTGCACGTACACCAGATGCTGGCCGTCCGCCTCGCCCGCTGCAGCAGCCGCCGAACGCAGTGTCACTCACACGTCTGCTGAGCGCGCCTGGACTGCACGGCGGCCTTGGCCAACAGCCAAGTTTCAAGTCAATACCACCGCCATGAGCAGCGACCTCTTACATAGCATAGAACAACAACTGAACCATGATACTGCATGCATATACGTCGTTCCATAGACATATAACTGATTCGACACGAAACTACATATGCTTTGTCAGCATAGGGCTGGCAGTGGCAAAATGATGACGGGTGCCGAGCCCGGCGTCGTGCGACGCCAGGCCACGGGGTGGCGGGGCCCACCTGCGCTGGAGAGGGCGGCGGCCGTGGTGGTCGGCGTCACGAAACGCGACGAGCCGAGCATCGACGCCGTGGTGACGAAGTCTCGCGCCGCGCCGTACCGGGCGGCCAGGCTGCGGCCGCGGCCCCGGCCTGCCGCACGCACGCACACGCGTCCAACAGAGGCCCTGAACATTGCGACTGGGCGCTGGCTCCGGCGCGGCAGCCGGCCGGCGCCGGTCAGCGCTGTGAGACACGATACAGGGAGAAGCGAGGCTATCACGGTCAGCATCTCCACCAACACAAACATCATGGTATGACCGTGATCTATTCTCCCACGCCGACAAAATTCGCCGGCATTTCTCGCCAAAGGCCGCGGCGTGCTAGGAAACAACTCACAAACACAAGTCGTGGGCCGCAGACATTGTCTCCCCCTCCACCTCTAACCGCAGTCCAAATGGTGAAGGAAACAACGGACAAGCGCAGCGTCCTCTCCCAACCACGGCGGCGAACGGCGGTGTACCTCGGCTGCGCCTGAAGCGGCCGCCGTCCAGACTCTGAGTGACTCGGAGCCGGCAGCCGGGCGCCGGGCGGACGCCAGCCGGCAACGGGAACGGCTCGGGCTCGGGCGTACCGCTGCCCGCCTCCTGGATCAGGTCGATGATGGGCGGCTCCGAAAGAGAGTCGTCGTCGGCGGCCGGTGAGCCGCCCGGCTCTGGACGCTGTGTGGCGGCGCGCGGCCGGCTCCTCGGACGCCCTGTGGTCAGCCACACACACATGGCGCGCGTCAGCGCAGAGGTGGCCGAGCGCACGCTGTGGCCGGCCGCCCGCCGGACACGGCCGCGCCACAAGCTCATCAGCACAACACCGCACTTAACGAAAGGGGTAAGCGTTCCGCACCATATACCACTAGGCATGCACGAAACCTTGAAAATGGCAAGATGCCACTCTCGGCGGTCTCTGGCTGCCAGGGGAGCCCGGGCAAACACTAATCTGACAGGCAGACCACACCGGCGGCAGGCGGCTACCAGCCGGGGCGCGGGGCCGTACCGCTCCTGGTCGGCCTGGCACGGTGTTTGGCCGGGCCGACCGGCCGCCGCCGCCGCTCGCGCGCCAGGTTCCTCAGCACCGCGTCTTCGCGGCAGAGTGGCGGAGTCGGCAGCCGCGGGAACACGGGCAGCGTGCCGTCCAGCTGCTGCGTCAGGATGTTGGTCAGGAACTCAGAAACCTCCTCCTGCCGGCCGACGCACGCATGCCGCGTGAGGGGGACGAGTGGCGAGGCGCGAGAGCGGTGACTGACAGGAGCAGCGAGCCGGAGGGTGTCATATCCCTACCGAACAGCACTCAACACGGCCGGCTGCCGACACAACTTATCGGCACGGTCACAGCACGTCACGGCCGCTGACGACCCGCCTCGCGTGTCGTCACCGAGTCGACCCGTGGCGCCGCTGCCCGCCTCCTCACCATGACTGCGCGGTCCACCATGCTCTGCGTCAGGCCCTCGCGCTGCCGCTCGTGCCGGTTGACGAGCAGGCGGCGGTCGGCGCCGCCCACCACCACCAGGCCGGTCTTGGCACGCATCCGGTCGCGCATCAGCTCCAGCTCGTGCGGCGCCGCGCCGCTGGCCGACTGGCCCACCAGCAGCAGGGTGGGCGTGCGCGACTCGAGCAGTGGGTCGTCCGGCTCGCCGCGCCGCCCGGCCGCCGACCGGCACGGGAAGCCGAACCCGACCACGGCGCTGACGGGCTCGACCAGCGCCAAGTGGGCGGCCACCAGGCCGGCCGAGCAGGACCAGCGGCCGGCCGGGCCGCCGCAGCTCGGCTACCTGACTCCGGCTCATGGCCATGATGTGCGACAGGCTCTCGCTGACGGTGATGCCGCGGCTCGGCGCGCCGCCTGCCGGCGGGGCGCAGATCAGCCGAGGTTAGACATGGTCAGCCAAAGTCAGGGACAGGTCAGCCGAAGTCAGGCACGGGTCAACAGATGACTATAAAACGTGTAGTTTTTCATATACAGCTCATTACGCGCCGTCATATACAGCTCATTACGCGCCACACCGCATCGACTGCACCGGCGCACATACACACCATGCGGACAAAATCACCAGATACTACAGAAACACCTGCTGGGCAGAGCGGGCTGCTGTGTCAACGAACGGCACATGTCGGAGCGCAGCGGCAACGACCATCTACGCACGCCCTGTTCGCTCGTCGCAGGCGAGCCTGCCGACCGACCAGACCCTGCAGAGGGCGCCGAGCGGCCGGCGGCGCGCGCCACTCACCCTCGAACACGCTGATGGCGACCACCTTGCCAGAAGTCGAGCCGGCCGGTGCCGAAGCCGGGACGGCTGGCGTCCGAGCCATGGCACGGCGACGACGGTACCAGAACCAGCAGCGGGTTGTTGGGAAGGCGCCGCTGCTCGGCACCAGCACGGCACTAGCGCGTCAGCGGCGCCGGTCGGAGGGGTACAGACAGGCGCGTGCGCGCCACCAGGGACGGTGCCAGAGGTGGAGACGGCGCAGCCGAGTACGCCGGATCGTGAACAGTTCTGACTTTGTTCTGGTGTATTCCACCTGGATAGGTGTGAAACATTCGGGGGTTTTAAGGGTGGGCAACGTCTATGTGATGATATGGTACTGCATATTTTGTGATATTTCATTCATTACTCGAACACTTTATCAATATCAAATAAAGCCATTGAAGCGCTAAGTTCCATGCCTGCCCCACGTGTGCCATCCATACCGCCAGAGGCAAGGGTGAGCTCTTACTGATTCCCTAGCCGGCTGGGTTGCCGGACAGCCGCCGATCGCCGCTCGGTACGCACCAGGTTATGCTGGGAGATGATGTGGGTGGCCGGGTCCCAGGGGCGGCGCAGCGGCGGCGCCAGCGTCTCTGCGGAGAGCGGGCCGTGGTGGGGCCGGCCGGCCATGTCAGCCGAGCCGCCAGCGACGGCGTCTTGCTGGTCAACGTCTGCCGACGGACGAAGCAGTGTCGCTCAGCCGCGGCGCACGTCGCCGAAACATACGTCGAAACATACTGCCTAAAATAATGAAGACAACACAATTTGTTTCAAGGCAAAGAAGACACAAATTCTAGCATCACTTACTCAACATAATACCTAACATTTTGCAGCATACAGTGACAGTAATGTTACTTGTTTAATCACTGCCCAGTTAGCCTGACCATGAAGACCAAGCACACATGCATGCACTGAAGGCAGGTGGTCTTGATACCATGACTTTGTGAAACCATTATCATTAATTTTTCTGGTTACATACCAAAATTCAGAATATGCATAAAATACTGTTACCCTAGCACGGGAGGCTTGTGCTGAGGCTGCGTCCTCAGCTGCTCTGGCCCTGAGGAGCATGACATGATCATAATGGCAATGCAAATGCAAGGAGACCACTATGCAGCATATGTTAGCATTGTCCTATATGTTCACATTGAGATGGGAAAGTTGGACCAATTGAAATTAAGTCATGATTTTGTAGACTGATGTACGCAGACCCACACAACACAACTGCACACTCTCCTTCAACTTGCACAAGTATTAATCATGGCTAAACTAAATTCTGTGAGAAAGCATTATGACTGATTACAGTTATGTTCACATGACATGTGTCATGCAATCATTTGCTTAAGTAAAGCCACCACCTAAACAGTATAACCAGTGCACACAACTGTTTATACAAAGCTATTCTTTGTATAAATGCACCAGCATCTCCCAAAACTCAAGACAGTGAAAAATGCAGTGATAGCATGTGCATATGAAACAAATAGGATCTACACATACAGATAAACTGGGTGTGCAGCAATGATACAGAAAGGGAAGACCAGAAAATCAGATCACTGTGTGAAAAGCTAAATAAAGGTGAACATAGCACCAAGCAGCCCCCGGGGTTGCTCACCTGGATGCCTCCCAAAACAGACGCCTCACAGCTGCTGATCAGGTGGGGCGTGGCAGGCAGCGGCCGCAGCCTTGTGGCTGCCAACACCCAGTCATGTTGATGACACCAGAAGGAAATTACATCATAAGGTAATTACATACATTACTTATATTGTAATTGCTATGCAGCTTAGCATGTCCCTGTGTTAAAAACATAGTGTGTATATACAGTACAGTCATTTGCCGGTCAGCAAGCCATGACAACTAAAGAAAACATGTGGTTAAAGCAGCCATAAGGGACCACTTTAAGAAATTTGGGGCAAATAACCAAGAATATGGAACAAAATGAGCCCATTACATGCCTTGTGGCATCACAATTTGAGTTATGGGAAAACTCGATGCATTTAAACAAAAAAATGGCTAACTGGTTATCATGTGTACTAAGCATGTGATGAACGCAGGTTAGGTGAGCGATTACTTGTTCCACATGAGACTGGCCTCTTCCTGCTCCCCCCCCCCCCGCCAAAACAAATTTTCAGTACCTTTTGCATGGTCTGCTGGCGGACCGGGCCATCCGACTCACTCCCCAAATATAAATATCAACTATGCCCACCAACCTTCGAAATTAAAATGTGAAACATGTAAGAGGTGTGCATGATAAACATCTCCAGAAGGCAGAATTTCGCCATCAAACACCCCTGTATTAGCTGCGTCAGGTCTGTCCCAAGGCTCTATATGGCACCATTTACTCTAATGCTAATACCTTACCAGGTAGCCTTGTGAGTCAGGCACTCGAAAGGCTTGGATTTATCATTATTGAGCACCGCCATGAACCAAGAAAACGGTTAACTGAAGGTCTCAGAGGGCAAAAATGGGGGGAACAATAAGTTTCGTGCCTCAAATGGTCTCCCGCATTCCCTGTGAAATGTTCACGCTTGGGTGCATATCAAACATGTTTGGGCGGCTGGCGAATTAATCCGATTTATGTATAAAATACGTACAAGTTTGCAGTTGGAGCATTTTGCAGAGAAATTGTTCAAAATTTTAAGCAGCAGGTAGTACATCTAAAGACGATCGAAAAGGAAGGAAGAATAAAGTGGCATTACACAAGTATGATACCAAGAAAAACAAAGTAGCTCAATAAAAATAAAGACTGGTACTTCCCTCGCAAAATTTTGATATCAGTTGATTTGATTTAAATATGTAAAAAGGAGTGTTCGGATGGTGATATTCATCTTGTAAGTTTAATTTATAGAACATTTCTCGAACTTTTAACTTATGCATTTCGGGAGTGATGCAATTTAGTGGTCAAGTTTCTTCGGGAAAAAGGAAATACGTGGAGCTCTCTACCAGGTATTGCTGGTGTTTGCACCAGACCCTGCTTTTGTGGTGTGGTGGTGAGACCAAAAAAATGGGAGATGCGTGAAAACCTTGCATTTGGCGCACAGCTGCAGATTGTGATGCATTTTGTAAACAAACCAAACTTATGCGTGCAAGCGGCTGCGGTCCCTGGGGTTCATGGGCTTGGAGTGGGAGGTCCAAAGTCTAGTATAAAATATGGCAGCAACGTCGCACATTTCACGACTAACCATAGGGTACCATGTTAAAATGACCTTCTTCAGCCCCACGGCTTTCTAAATCTTGAACATTTATATGCATAAAAAGTGCATAGAAATGAAGCTTGAACAATTCTCTTTCGATTTCCAAGATCAAAAGTGTGCGCCGTGGCACTGATTTTCGAGCTATCAGGCAAAGCGCAGACTCATGCACGCGCCACGATGCCCAGGCGTGGGATCGAATCTCGCTGCCGCCAACTCTTTTCAGCAGAATTGAGATGGAACACGGAGTGAATACGGCCACTAACTGCCGATAGAACTATTTAGTACAACATTATTCTGATTATATATAAACAGAGAGAGAGAGAGAGAGAGAGAGAGAGAGAGAGAGAGAGAGAGAGAGAGAGAGAGAGAGAGAGAGAGAGGAGAGGAGAGAGGAGAGAGAGAAGAGAGAGAGAGAGAGAGAGGAGAGAGAGAGAGAGAGAGAGAGAGAGAGAGAGAGAGAGAGATATATATATATATATATATATGGGAGCTATTACATATATATATATATATATATATATATATATATATACAAAGGTACTGATATGACAAAATTTATAAATATATATATATATATATATATATATATATATATATATATATATATCTATATGTATATATACCTAACACAGTGCCCGGTCCTACCTCCGGGCGCGTTGGATGGCCAGCCTTGGACCGCTGCCGTCGCGATAGCTTCCATGCGTCAGGCACAATGATACTATGCGCCCCAGCCATAGGCTGTTGCATGTAGCCCGACGGCTGCATAACACCTGTCAGGTATATTTATGGACATAAAAAGATCTCGTGTATTTCTTGTAATAGCTCGCAGCACATTTCACAGCACAGCAGATGCGTCTTCAGGCTATACATAATATGTATATATATATATATATATATATATATATATATATATATATATATATATATATATATATATAGCCTATGTAGCCTATATATTAGCCTATGGCTGGGGCGCATAGTATCATTGTGCCTGACGCATGGAACCTATCGCGACGGCAGCCGTCCAAGGCTAGCCATCCAACGCGCCTAGAGGTAGGACCAGACACTGTGTTGGGTTCTTAAGTTGTGGTGCTGGCGGCCACTGTTGTGCGGGGTCGGCAATGCCGCCTCAGGACCAGCGCAGCAACGATAGCATAGTAACATTGCAAGCACCGCTGATTGGGAAGCAGTTGTGCTTAAAAGCGGGATGGTAAGCAATATAATAAGTGCCATAATGGTGAGCGGTACTGCACAAAGGTACTGATATGACAAAATTTATAAAACTTTTTTTGACTGATTTTGAAGAGCTTAAACACCTGACAGGCCTGTGGCCTAAGTAACCATGCTCCCTAAAACCATTTGCACGAAGGGTTTTTGGCATAATGTGAATCAAAACATTTTATCACTGGTTTCACCGAATAAATAAACCTGAGAAATATTGCTTTCACTTCACATAACCTGCAAAATCAGTATTTGGAACCTCAATATGACATATTTTTTCTATTCCTCATCAAGCCTTGTAATTTATAACTTTAACCTTCATCCATTGACCTCAGAGTAGGAAAGGTCGTAGCCTTGACATCGTGGTTGTAGTTCATGGGCGCACCACGAGTGGCGCCACTGTCGGGCGATGGAAGGCAGTCGGCCCGGAGCCGCCGTGCCGTGCGGTTGGTTGTTCATACTTTGTAACTGGAGCTCACGTTAACATCAATAAACAGTTGGGAGATACAACAACTTGGCGACGAGCAAAGGGATTTTAAAGTAGGGACAGGTGCAAGTGACGCGCGGACCGGCAGGACGTGTGGAACTGCGAGGACTGGCAGGGCACGTGGAACTGCGAGGACTGGCAGGGCACGTGGAACTGCGAGGACTGGCAGGACACGTGAGGCTGAGGACCGGCAGGACGTGTGGGATTGCGAGGACTGACAGGGCGTGTGGAACTGCGGGGACTGGCAGGGCACGTGAGGCTGAGGACCGGCAGGACGTGTGGAACTGCGAGGACTGGCAGGACACGTGAGGCTGAGGACCGGCAGGACGTGTGGGACTGCGAGGACTGATAGGGCGTGTGGAACTGCGAGGACTGGCAGGGCACGTGAGGCTGAGGACCGGCAGGACGTGTGGAACTGCGAGGACTGGCAGGGCACGTGGAGCTGAGGGCCGGCAGGACGTGTGGAACTGCGAGGACTGGCAGGGCACGTGGAGCCGAGGACTGGCAAGACGTGTGGAGCTGCGAGGACTGGCAGAGCGCGTGGAGCCGAGGGCAGCAGTGTTTGAAAACGCAGGTGATCAATCGGCGGGCTTCAGGAGTTTTCTGACTCGGTCGACGGGACAGGGCAGTGTGGTGTCATCCATTTATTGTCAAAGTGTGTCAGGGGCAGGACAGTGACGGGGTCGATAGCCCTGGGACAGGCTCAGGGGCATCAGTTGCCACAAAGGCCCCAGGACTGGCACGTGGTTTTGCCGCCGCGGCGTGCCGCCATTTTGGACGTTAGTTCAGCGGGGGCCCGGCACAGGCGCTGCGTTTGGCATTCTTCAAGTACTTCACCTTTTTTAGAAGAAGAAAAATCTCCACCGCGAGCGTGTTATGCGCAGTACGAAATGGACACAACCAGCTCACGTTAGCAGGATTGCCCAACTTGGAAATCATACAACCCAAACATCATCTTTAGCACCAAAAATGTTGAGCAGGCAATTACCGTTATTCATTTTGTCGTTTCGACCATTGTTGCTCACAGTGCTCGCATGAGCACCTATCATCTTCAAGAAATTGCCATCTGACAATATTATAATTTCCACAACAAACCAGTGATGTGATTTTTAACGCGCAGGTAGCAAACGATTTATAACATGTACTAAAAGAGCAACACAAGCACCAAATCACAGGCACAAGAAATCAAGAAAAGTATCCCAGTTCTGCACATTCGTGTCTCGAATTATCTGTTGGTGCGCTGAGCCTTCGTACATAACATAATTTTGATCATTTTTATCAGATATTTGGTAACTTACGGCGCATCACGCGCAGACCAGAAGGGCGCCTACAATCTTACCTTATCATTGCACTTCTTTCTACTTCCTTTATTATTGCACTCCTAATTTATTTCCAGTTGTGAAGCTTAAATTGATATTTCCAAACAGACAGCACATAGAGAGAGCCAACATTATCTATTGAACTGAAGCATTTCCAGCAATCTTAAAAAAACGGACCAAGCCACGGGAGCCCAGCACCGAAGTCAAGCCAACGTTTTCGGTGCGGTACATAAACGTCTATTAGTGCACCTCATACACGAGTCCAGATAATGCGATTCGCACTTATTAGAACCAAACACATCGTGACGACAATGTCGCTTTAGCTACAACACTTGGGTTCAATTAATATGAATACTCCGTTGCCGTGAGATGCCGCCATCATGTCGTGCGGAGAGACTGTCGTAGCACCCTCTTAAAGTAATGCACCTCAAGTACAATTCCAACGAGCGAGGCCTGAAATCGCTCTGACATCCAGAGACATACTCTGCCGAGATAATTTGCCAACAGCAATCCTTGGGTAACGGCCCAAGCCCCGGGAAACTAAGACTGAAGCAGAGGCAGCGTTTTCGGTACGGTACATATACATCTATTAGCGTAGTGCACCTCACACACGAGTCTGGATAATGCGATTCGCACTCATTAGAACTTAACACGTGCTGACAATGTCAGTGGAACTGCAAGACTTCGGTCGGATGAATAACACTCATGCATTGCCGTGACATGTTGCCATCATGTGCGGACGAAGTGCAGTAGCACCCTCAAGTAGTACACCTCTTGTATAATTCCAATTGGCGAGACCTAAAAACCACTGTGACATCCAAAGACATACTCTACCGAGATAATATGCCAATAGCAATCCTAAGGAAACGGACCAAGCCCCGAAAATTGAAGACTGAAGCAAAGTTAGCGTTTTCGGTATGGTACATATACGTCTATTAGCGTATATGTGCCGTACCGGAACATCCAAACCGTACCAAACCGACATCGAAAGACATGCTCTACCGAGAGAATATGCCAATAGCAATCTTAAGGAAACGGACCAAGCCCCGAAAATTGAAGACTGAAGCAAAGTTAGCGTTTTCGGTATGGTACATATACGTCTATTAGCGTATATGTGCCGTACCGGAACATCCAAACCGTACCAAACTGACATCGAAAGACATGCTCTACCGAGAGAATATGCTAACAACAATGCCAAAGTAATAAGCCAAGCCCCGGAAACCGAAGACCGAAGTAAATCCTACGTTTTCAGTACGGTACATATGCTTTAATTGGCGCAGTGCACCTCATACACGGGTTCGGATAATGCAATTCACACTTGCAAGAAATAAATACGTCGCGAGGACAATGTCGGTTCAGTGACAACACTTCGGTTCAATGAATAATACCCACGCATTGTCGTGAGATGTTGCCATCATGTGCGGACGGACTGCAGTAGCACCCTCTTAAAGTAGTGCACCTCTGGTATAATTCCGATTGGCGAGACCTAACAACCACTCTGATGCGCAAAGAAATACCCTGCCGAGATAATATGCCGACACGAACCCCAAGGAAAGAAGCCAAGCCTCGGAAACCGAAGACCGAAGCAAAGGCAACGCTTTCGGTACGGTACATATACGTTTATTCGTACGGGACACCTGAGACAAGAGTCCTTATAATGCAATTCGCACTAAGTAGAAATAAACACATTGTGCCGACAATGTCGGTTGAGCTGCAATACTTTGGTTCAATGAAGAAGACTAATGCGCTGTCGTGGGATGTCACCATCATGTGCGGATGGACTGTAGTAGCACTTTCTTAAAGTAGTGCACCTCTTGTATAATTCCAATTGGCGAGACCTAAAGACCTCTTTGACATCCAAAGACATACTCTACCGAGATAATGTGCCAACAGTAATTCTAAGGGGGCGTACCAAGCCCCGGAGACCGAAGACCGAAGCGAGGCCAACGTTTTCGGTACGGTACATACATGTTTATAAGCGCAGCGCACCTTATACACGAGAGTACTATCTCGGTAGAGAATGTTCTTGGATGCCAGAGGCGTTTTCAGGTCTCGCCAGCTGGAATAATGCAAGAGGTACACTACTTTAAGGGGCTGCTTCTACGGTCAGTCCGCGCAACATGCTGGTGATATCTCACAGCAATACACGAGTCTTGTTCATTAAACCGAAGTACGACATTGTCGCCACAACGCGTTTACTTCTCGTAAGCTTGAATCGAACTATAAGGACTGGTGTTTCAAGTGCCCCGCGCCAATAAACGTATATGCGCCGTACCAAAAACGTTGGCTTTGCTTCGTTTTTCGGTTTGCGGGGCTTGGCCCATTTCCTTCGGGTTGCTGTCGGCATATTTTCTCGCTAGAGCATGCATTTAGATGTCAGGACGGTTTTTAGGTCTCGGCCATTCCAATTATACAAGAGGTGCACTACTTTAAGAGGGTGCTACTGCAGTCCGTCCGCACATGATGGCAACATCTCACGACAATGCATGGGCATTATTCATTGAACCGAAGTGTTGTCACTGAACCGACATTGTCCGCACGACGTATTTATTCTTGCAAGTGTGAATTGCACTATCCGGACCCGTGTATGAGGTGCACTGCGCCAATTAAAGCATATGTACCGTACTGAAAACGTGGGATTTACTCCGGTCCTCGGTTTCCGGGGCTTGGCTTATTACTTTGGCATTGTTGTTAGCATATTCTCTCGGTAGAGCATGTCTTTCGATGTCAGTTTGGCACGGTTTGGATGTTCCGGTACGGTACATATACGCTAATAGACGTATATGTACCATACCGAAAACGCTAACTTTGCTTCAGTCTTCAATTTTCGGGGCTTGGTCCGTTTCCTTAGGACTGCTATTGGCATATTATCTCGGAAGAGTATGTCTTTGGATGTCAGAGCGGTTTTTAGGTCTCGCCAGTTGGAATTATACAAGAGGTGTACTACTTGAAGAGGGTGCTACTGCACTTCGTCCGCACATGATGGCAACATGTCACGGCAATGCATGAGTGTTATTCATCCGACCGAAGTCTTGCAGTTCCACCGACATTGTCAGCACGATGTGCTTAGTTCCAATGCATGTGAATCGCATTATCCAGACTCGTGTGTGAGGTGCACTACGCTAATAGACGTATATGTACCGTACCGAAAACGCTGGCCTTGCTTCAGTCGTATTTTCCCGGGGCTTGATTCGTTTCCTTAGGATTGCTGTTAGCATGTCATCTCGGCAGAGTTTGTCTCTGGATGTCAGAGCGATTTCAGGCCTCGCTCGTTGGAATTGTACAAGAGGTGCACTACTTTAAGAGGGTGCTACGACAATCCCTCCGCACATGACGGCAGCATCTCACGGCAACGGAGTATTCATATTAATTGAACCCAAGTGGTGCAGCTTAAGCGACATTGTCGTCACGATGTGTTTGGTTCTAATAAGTGCGAATCATATTATTCGGACTCGTGTATGAGATGCACTGCGCTATCTATCAGACGTTAATGTACCGTAACGAAAACGTTGGCTTGACTTCGGTGCTGGGTTCCCGTGGCTGGGTCCGTTTTTTAAGATTGCTGGAAATGCTGCAGTTCATTAGATATTGTTGGCTCTTTCTCTGTGCTGTCCGTTTGGAAATATCAATTTAAGCTTCACAACTGAAAATAAATTAGGAGTGCAATAATAAAGGAAGTAGAAAGAAGTGCAATGATAAGGTAAGAGTGTAGGCGCCCTTCTGGTCCGCGCGTGATGCGCCGTAAGTTATCAAATATCTGATAAAAATGATCAAAATTATGTTATGTACGAAGGCTCAGAGCACCAACAGATAATTCGAGACACGAATGTGCAAAACTGGGATACCATTCTTGGTTTCTCGTATGTCTGTGATTTGGTGCTTAGTATGCCCTTTAAGTACATGCCATAAATCGTCCGCTGTCTGCGCGTTAAAAATCGCATTGCTGGTTTGTTGCCGAAATTATAATATTGTCAGATGGCTATTTCTTGAAGATGATAGGCGTTCATGCGAGCATTGTGAGTAGCAATGGTCGAAACGACGAAATAAATGACGCTATTTGCCTGCTTGTTATTTCGGGTGCTAAAGATGATGTTTGGGTTATATGATTTCCAAGTTGGGCAATCCTGCTAACGTGAGCTGGTTGTGCCCATTTCGCACTGCGCATAAAGCGCTGGCGGTGGAGATTTTTCTTCTTCTAAAAAAGGTGAAGTACTTGAAGAATCCTCTGCGTTGTCGGGCAACGACTTCCGGAAGCGCAGTTCGGCAGCCCGCCGACAGAGGCGCTGTGATAGCCAGCGGTGGCGTGACTCACGGGTCAGCACGGCATTAGCTGATCGGCCGGAGAGGAGTCGAGCTGGGCGGCCGGGCGCGAGCCAGGTGATCGGAGCGTAGGAAACGACTGAGCGTCGTGCGCGAGGTAGAACAGCTGATGGGACCGTGGGAAAGCAGCTGAAATCAGTGCGCCGGATCGAACAGCTGATCGGGACGTGGTAAAGCTGAAGGGATGGCGCTGCCGGGAATGCATCTGCCCACGGTGGCACCCTACCACACAGCGGAGGACTTTGAAAGGTGGGTGGGAAGCATAGAGCGGTATTTGGCGGCCGTGAACATAACTGATACCAATCAGAGGTGTGCAGTGCTTCTCCATCTGGTTGGGCCGGACGTCGCAGAGCTCAGCGAGACGCTGCCGGACGAAGACGCGACGGGAGATAACTTTGAAAAACTTAAGGAGGAAGCTCACGGCGTACCTGGCGCCGGTCAAAAGTGCTGTGACTGAGCGGGCTGCATACCACCAAATGAAAATGCAAGCGGGTGAGGAATTCGAACAGTTCCTCGGGCGACTCCGGATTCAAGCACAGAAATGCGGCTATACAGCGGCTGAGATGGACAGGGAACTCCGGGACCGGTGTGTCGTCGGAAGCAGCCCCGGGCTGAGAGAAAAGCTACTGCAGGAGGCGGCGACCAAAGGAGACGGGCTGACGCTCGCGAACGTCCGGCAGACAGCGCGGGCGTACCGAGACATGCGTCAGCTGAGCACCCAGCTGAGAGAGAGTCAGCCGGCAGTCACAGGAGTCGACTGTGAGGGGACGGCCGTGAACGCAGTGCGGTGGGAACGGCCACAACGGCCACAGCGAAGCCAGTGTTTCCGATGCGGATCCAGACAGCATTGGAAGAGGGACTACCCGGTCAGGGTGCAGGAGCGAGGCGCTGCCGACCGGCCATCGTCCGGGGATAATGGATGGCGTGACGGGCGGCGGCAGCAGGGACAGACCCGCCGTCCCCCGCCCGTCCGACGCTGTTTCCGGTGTGGGTCGGACGCCCACCTACAGCGCAGCTGGCCACAGCGCCGCACAGTGGACCATGTGACTGAGACTGAAGGTGTGCCACAGCGCCTCAAGGACGTTCTCCTACAAATCGACATCCCGAGCGAGAGGGATGGCCTACCACTCATCACAGTGAGGATCAACGGTCAGGACATCACGATGATGATCGACACCGGCTCGCCGGTGACAATCATCGGCAGAGATGTCAAGATCCCGGGACTGCGCATGCGGGCATCGGAGCTACGTCTGCAGTCCTACACCGGTCAGACGGGGCCCCTCCGCGGAGAGGCAACGGTGGAGGTGGAACACGCAGGCCAGGCCCGGTCACTGCGACTGGTGATATGTGACCGACAGGGGAGCGCGCCGCTGCTGGGACGAGACTGGCTGCGCCAGCTCCGACTGAACTGGCGCGCGGTTAGCATGGTCGACCGGCCGGGGGACGCTGACGGGAGAACCACGCCGGAGTCGGGCGCGAAGACGACGCTGGAGTCGGTCGTCAAGGCGCACGAGACAGTGTTCAGCGACGGACTGGGGAAGATGTCGATGAAGGCCCACCTCACGCTGAAGCCTGACGCGCGTCCGGTGTACAGGAAGGCCAGGCCTGTGCCGTACGCCCTCATGCCTCTAACTGACAAGGAATTAGAGCGCTGGATCACGGAGGGAGTCGCAGGGAAGGTTGACCCAGAACAGAGACCGTCAGGCTGGGGGACCCCGCTGGTCCCAGTGCTGAAGCCCAACGGTCAGGTCAGGTTGTGCGCAAACTACAGCCTGAAAGTGAATCCACTGCTCCGGGTGGATCCGTACCCACTGCCTGCGCCAGAGGACCTATTCGCGAACATACGAGGTCGAGTGTTTGCAAAGCTGGACTTCCGGCGGGCATACGAGCACATGGAGCTGGACGAGACGTCACGGGACCTCACCACGGTGACAACGCACCGCGGCTCGTTCCGGATGGTCCGTATGCCGTATGACATCGCCAGCTGCGGCTTCCTGTTCCAGCAGGCAATGGACAAGGTGCTGGAGGGACTGCCGGGCTGCGTGTGCTACATTGATGACGTTCTCATCGCAGCGGAAGACGGGGCAGAGCTGGTGACACGGCTGGACCGGGTCCTGACTCGGCTGGAGCGCCACGGCCTCCGGCTAGAACGCTCAAAATGCACTCTCGGGGTGAGTGTGGTGTCTTACCTGGGATGGCGGATCACCGTGGACAGCATCAAGCCGGAGGAAGACGGGACAGCCGCGCTGCTGGAGGCGCCAGAACCACGTGACGTTTACTAGCTCAGATCCCTGTTGGGATCGGTGGACTACTAGTCGTCTCCTGCCCGGGCTCGCGACAACGCTAGCCCCATTGTACGCGTTGCTGAAGCGCGGTTCGCCGTGGAACAGGACGCCGAGATGTTCGGCTGCAGTAGATGAAGTAAAGCGGCTGCTGGCAAGCGGCCGTGTGTTGGTGCCGTATGACCCCGCCTTGCCACTCAAACTGGTAACAGACGCCAGCGCCTCTGCAGTCGGCGCGGCTCTGATACACCGCATGCCGGACGGCACAGAACGACCGATCATGTTCGCGTCGAGGACGCTGACACCGACAGAAAGATGTTACGCACAGGTCTAGCGGGAAGCCGCCGCTGTGCAGTTTGGGCTCCGGAGCTTCAGCAGGTTCCTGTTCGGCCGGAAGTTCACTCTCACCGTGGACGATCGGGCCCTGTCCCGGATCCTGAGCCCCGAGCGCGACCTCCCCGGTCTGACCGCGGCACGTCTGCAGCGGATCGCCATGGAACTGGCAGCATACCAGTACAGCGTAGAGCTACGCGGAACGGCAGACATGGCGCTCGCGGACAGTCTATCGCGGATGGCGCTGCCGTGCAGCGGGAACGAGCGGGCGGAGGCGGACAGGGAGGTGGCGGGAGTCCACTTGTTGTTCATGGACGGCGTGGGAGCGCCGCTGACAGCCCGCGAGATCGAAAACGCCATCAGGCGCGACCCGCTGCTGGCGAAGGTGCTTATGTATATAAGACACGGATGGCCGACAGAGACGGAGCCGGGGTTGGCGCCGTTCCGACACCGGGAGGTGGAGCTGTCCACAGACCACGGCGTGGTACTGTGGGGAGGCAGAGCGGTAATACCCCAGAGGCTGCGGTCGCGAGTACTGCAGGAGCTGCACATCGGACACCTCGGCAGCGCCAAGATGAAAGGAGTGGCGCGCCGGTGCGTATGGTGGCCGGGAATGGACACAGAACTGGAGGCACTGGCGTGGGATTGTACCGCATGTGTAGAAAAGCGAGGAGCCCCGCCACGGAGCGCGCTGCACACCTGGGAGCCGGCTGGCGGCCCGTGGGAGCGAATCCATGTGGATTTTGCCTTGCCGTTTCAGGGCTCCAGCTTCCTCGTGGCACATGACAGTTTCAGCAAATGGCTGGAGGTGTATCCGATGAGAGATACGGGCACAGAGAGCGCGGTCCGGGAGCTGCGAGCCATGTTCGCTCGTTTCAGTATACCACGGCAGCTTGTCTCCGACAACGGACCTCAGTTCACAGCGTCACAGTTCGCGGAATTCTTGAGTGGGTACGGTGTACGACACGTCAGAGTGGCACCATACCACCCGAGCAGCAATGGGGCTGCCGAACGAGCGGTCCAGACCCTTAAGAACGGCCTCAAGGCGGCGCTGAGGGACGGGGGCTCCCTGTCTCGCCGGCTGTGCACGTTTCTGATGGCATACCGCGCGGCGCCACACTCAACGACAGGTCGGACGCCGGCGGAAGTGATGTTCGGGCGCCCGATGCGCACCAGGCTCGACCTCGTGCACCCAAGCATCACACGAGATGTACAAGAGAAACAGCAAGACCAGAGGGAGGCGGCGGGAGGAAGGTCGTGCCAGTTCAGGGTAGGCCAGACCGTGTGGGCGCGGACATATGGCGGCCCCGACGGTGGCGGCGCGGCGAAGTGGTAGGCATCACGGGCCCCGTCTCGTATCAAGTAGACGTCGGCGAGGCCGTCTGGGCGCGCCATGCGGACCAGCTCCTGCCAACAGCAAGACGGGAAGAGCAGCAGCCGACCGAGTCAGCTCCGCTGGAGCCGTCGCAGCAGCATCCAACCGACCCTGCTCCCGGCCGGCAGCAGCATCAGATCCCGGAGGCTCACAGCTCTCTCGGGGAGAGAGAAGAGGAGGAGGAACAGAGACCGTCACCGACCAGAGAGGAGGCAGGTGGTCGCGACCAGACCAACACGGAGCCGGAATCAGCTCAACAGAACCGAGCTCCTGACTGGCCGGACGCCGAGTACCAGCAGACGGGGCAGCCGCGCGCCGTCAGCGCGCCGCCCCTGCGGGCAGGGCAGGCACACGCGGCCAGCGCGCCGCGTCACGAGACGCAGCCGCGCCGATCAGCGCGCACCATCCGACCTCCGCTGCGTTTCAGGCTGTAGGGAGGCTCCAGTATGGGGGCGGGGGGTGTTGTATCGTAGCCTTGACATCGTGGTTGTAGTTCATGGGCGCACCGCGAGTGGCGCCACTGTCGGGCGTTGGGAGGCAGTCGGCCCGGAGCCGCCGTGCCGTGCGATTGCTTGTTCATACTTTGTAACTGGAACTCACGTTAACATCAATAAACATTTGGGAGATACAACAGTACACCTAAGCAGCTGAAGTGAAATGGGAAGTGAAAGGTGAAATATTGCATTATTTGACACAAAACATCAGCTGCTATAAATGTCACAAATCTGAAAACTTTCCTTGCATAAGCAGACGTGCTATAATGTTGAAATTAATTTGATAGCCCTGCATTCTATGTGATTAATTATTTCAGCATAAGACTTAGCATAAATCATAAAGATGATTTATCTTGCTGACTAACTGTACATTTCAGGTACAACACAAACCAATCCACCCATTAAATACATTAACTACAACATTTGCTGCTTACATTGGATTCATTTACCAAGCACAGGTTATTGTTCAACGTCAGGTTTATGCTGCATGCAGTTGCATGGAGCAATTGTATTTTGTGATGGTGGCCTCCTCCAACAATGTTGGAATGCACTAGCAAATGTTGGCTTGCCCTTCTCGTATTGTTGCTAGAATATTACAACACATACGGTAACAGTGACTATCACATCATGATCACCTGCTTTGGGTATTATTTGATGACATTGGCTGAACTTTAGAATGAAAGACACAAAACTACAGCTTAAAATAGCCTTTAATCCAAATGAAGTGTCGAAACACAATGAGAAACACACATTAGGTGGAGGTGAGGTAGGGTCGCCCTCAGCACAGCCCACCAATATGCCACACACATTGATTCTTCTGATCTGGAAAAACATAACCTGTAATTTCACGTAAGTTGAATTATGCCGGAAAACTCTGCCAGTTTTCGACATGACATTTTCTCAACAGTGCAGACAGATAACTCTTTTGGTGAAATGTCATATCAGGTATGTGCACAACATTGCATTGTACAAAACATTCCCATTACATTATAGTGCCTTTCATGTCTCAATAAACACATCTAATGCAGTCACACAGCTGTGCTGAACTGACATAATCACTGGTTGGCTCATTTCATGGGTGGTAACACCACTATGGACAAAGGCTATCAATGCTTATGTGGAATATTCAAATGTCATTCAGACAACAATATCAATATTCATGTATTACAGAAGAACAAGACCCTTAGCTCCAACATAAATATACCTGAGCACGCCTTGGCCAATCACTTCGCATGCAGCATTCCACAGGCATTCAACAGCCGGTAGCCTAGGCCACAACATTCATAACTGGCAAGTTGTGCGGCAACTGAATCACTACATTGTCAGTTTTGCTGGAGAATGTTTAAATGAGTCATTGTATGTTGACTGAGACATAATGTGACTTGGCAAAGAACAACATACATCTGATAGCCCAGAGGCATCTGAAATTACTTGAACACAATCTGATCCTCCGACCACCATCCCCAATACCGCGCCACAATCCAAGTGTTTTGCGACTGGGAAAGGTGGTTACAATTAATCGCCACAAACAAACCGAAGATGCCGCTAGCACAGCACTGCCATTTTTTGGTGCAACATCCTAAACCTGGTGTTCATTCCGATTCTGGTATACTTATAGTATGTGTCGATACCTACTAGTCAAAACTTTGGAGTACCCGGTGTCGTATTGTCCTGGACTTGGAGGTACCTGGCGCTCTTGCTCTGCGCATATATAGACATGATTCAGATGTGGGTGAGGCAGGACATAGCCATTGGTGTCCAGGTTCTGCGGAGCCTCGTTTATGCTTGGTGGTTTCAAGTGAGCTCGGTTTTGGATGACATCTGAAAACCTCAGAAAGGGAAATAGGGGTTTGGCATGTGCGATTAGGCAATGTCAGGCAGGAGTGAAAAATTCACATAAAATATGGCGGAAAGGAGTGAAAAATTCCTCTTCACAGGGCGTTACTTTACACCCCAAGTCGGCAATTCTAAGACACTGATAATGTAACACGCGCCCGGGTGGCCGGCTGGATGCCCGTCGCTCGGGTGGGGGTCAATTTGACCCCGCTGAGATCTTGAGAACTATGAGAGCTAGAAACACCAAACTCACAACGTATGTTGGCCTGTACGTGAACACACTTAGGTCAAAGTTTGATGTTCCTGGGTCATGACATTCGGGTGAAATAAGGTCAAGCTGGATCAAATTCCAAGTTGGTCTCCAAAGTGCCCCCAGAATCCAGATAACCTTATCTAAGCAAAAGGTCACATGCTCATTTAAGGTCAGTGACCTTGTTAGGCCTTTTGAAGGTCATGGTGACCAGAATCATACAAGACTGCTGAGTTTTGCATTTGGATAAGCGACAGAGTTCATGCTAGACGGTATGCTCCTAAGAACCAAATGCTGACCTGGGTCGTTTTAGGTCAATGACGTATTCTGACCTCTAAGAGGTCCATGGAAGATGTAGAATGCGGTTCCTGCTATCAGTAAGTCCAAAATGCGCACCAGAATCTATCTCATAGGGCAGGCCCTAGAGTAATACAACTTGGTTTTGATCTTGGTCTGACCTTCAGAACTGACCCTAGGTCAATGCTCATTCAATTGTGTTGTCTAAGAAAAAAATTCAGAGATGTATACGCCGCGCCGTTCGGAAACCATTCTGGAAAAACCCTCCGGGGGGGGGGGGGGTCATTTGACCCCCACCCGAGCGCGTGATAAGTTATTGCTGTGACGATGTTTGTGACATGTAACCTACGAAGTGCTACGCATGACATCACTCATTGCGCATGCCTAACCATATCCTTACATACCTGTTGGTCGTCACATGAAAAGCGATGGCACTATTTATCGCTGTAAGCTAGATAAACCGAACATCTAGGGAATGACTTTGCGAGCATCGTATGGTCACGTGACAAAATTATTCCAACCGTCGGATGTCAGCAATAAAGATATAACACAAACCGCACTTGCGGCACGACTGGAAACCACGCGCACCGACGGCGGGTTTCGGTGTTCGCATGCCGCAGATTTCAAAAGCGAAGTGCATCAAAACTGCACACATGCACGACGCTTCTCCGGGGTTGCACGTGTCATATGCCACCGAGTAGAACACCACACGGCACGTCCGCGAGGAGTATGAAGCACGCGTCAAGGCACGTACAAATACGCACATGATGTCAGGTTACTACGCTCCAGCGCTGAAGGCCAGTCATTCACACCTTAACGATGCCCATCTGACAATACACGGCCGCAGGTTGCATAAGAAGCGTGCGTTGCTTATAACGGGACCATGTTTGAGGTGAACTGGACTTTTGATGAACGTGTGTTCTTGTCGGTTCTGTCAGATGTTCCACGTACATACGCTGTCACCATGTGCGACTTAACTGGTTCTCTAGGGAGAAGTTAGGTTTTCCCAGCATGAGCGCGACTGTGACAAAAGTTATATCTTTCGTTGCCAAGCAATGCTAGATGTTGAAGCTCCTATCAGGTAGCACCACATCACCTTTCTTGACATGTTTCATGATACCACTTTTCGGAAAGATTTGCCTGTCGGATGCATTTCCGGAATATGCGTCAGATACGAATGACATCTCACCCCTCAAAGTTATGCATCCTCGATTCTCACACCCGCACACGCGCAATCACCGCCCATTTAGCTTTTAAAACCGATCTCACAAAACACGCAACGAAATTAGGCCTGCAGGCGTTTTTTTGCTATGCACAAATCCGCATTCACACCGGTTTAACGGCCTGTAACGCAACGGTACGATGACATTGAATCGCCGTGTGTCCAAAGAACGCAGTCCTGCCATCTAGCGGGGAAATAAGGTTTACGTCTCCATTTTGACACACCCGGTAGCCTGTCAGGAAATAATGGTCGCCGTTGAGGTTGCTTCGTCAGTTGGCGTGTTCGAGAACGGACATACACCTGACGTATCTTACGTGAGGTGAGTTGCACGGGTGAAAAAGCTACCGATTTACAGGGTATGATCGGTGACAAAAGTCGACACTTTTGCGCGCTTTTTGTTGACAAAATTGTAAAAAATGGTGACAAATTACAACAGAATAACCCAGCTAGACGAACGCTGGCGCAGAGCAAATGCCGAGACTTTGCCGCTTTGCTGCACGAGCAGGTTGAGCCACAAAATGCTGCCAAATTTAGTAGCTTTAATCCGGATAGTTTTCACCATATGCCAGAGAAATACTGCGAACAATAATATATCAATGCTGACCATCAATGCTGTCCCAGATGGGTGGTGCTAGATTGAACCTTCCAATGACACTCAGATCAGTGCTTTTCACAGATACTTTTTTTCAGACAAGGTTCATTTCGCATGATAAACGACATTATATACCAAATAACTCGGCATATTACAAGTAGCAAGAATCGTGGTTTGCCACAGCACTTTGCGATGAAGGGGTTACGCCTGCTGCGCGGCGTTTTAAATAATCGTACCATTTAAGGCCGATGGCTTGGAATGCTTGTCACGCGGCTGTAAATCGGGTTTAGTCAAAGGCTACAGACTGCTGTTGTTTGCGTTCGCGCCGCCAGAGGCTCACCGGCTTGAATGAATTAGCTGTTCGTCAGGCTCGCTGTTCGTCTTTTCTAAGCATTGTTGAAAGATGCATTGTTCATCTGCCGATACCAGTGTTGCATGGGCTGCGAACTAAATTCCATGGATTGAGATCATGTTAAGTAGCGCAAGGCCTACGCCGAGAATAACGGTTAAGTGTGAAGGAAAAGGAGGTCGCTAACGCTTTCCGCTGATTGTAGGGTGACGTCATCGAACCAAAAAGGATGTTTTTCAGATGCTTGTAGAACAGTGATATTTGGTATATGTACGAGCACGCAGGTGCAGTTTTGCAACATACATGGTGATGAAGGAATGAGGGGCTCAAGAAGAAAATAAAAGTTTTCTTCCTCCTAGATGTTACGCAGTTTCGTTTCAGAGTTGGGAGCAGG